TGTCCTGCAGATTACTCTCCTTGGAGAGACTTGCCAGAGTTTGTGGTGAGTGTGGATGGAGATAAATTGTTTAGGTTAAAACTCTCCTGACAATTCTGATGTGCCCCTTAAGCGAAGACGATTTATAAAGGGGTAGTATGATTTGATACTACAAAAAATATGGGTAGTGTCTAAATGCAAAAGTGTTAGTTTTTATTCTCCTAGGCTCTAAGTTACCACTACTGGAGTTTTGATAACTTCTGTTACCTTTTTTATTTGCTTATTAGTTTAAGCTTTGTATATTTGATAAGCACAAATGCAGAAAGCAAGTAGGCATTCTTTCACATCGCTATGCAACATTATTCTTAAAATCCATTCAGAGAATAACTATCTTTGGTGCATGTGGAAGTAAAATAAATTCTAAATAGATCAAAAAATATTTTGGAGGGGAGTTAGTAAATGAACTTAGGTAATAATCATAGAAGGCTTTCTGGAGAGCATGAAATTATTTTTCCTATAACCATTTAACTAATCTAGTAAAAATCTATTTTTATTAGGTTAGGCCATAAGATATTGAGTCAATTCCTTAAAACAAGTCTTTGCCCTGTCTCGTATAGGATTCAAGCTTGTTTTAAACAGTAACAGTAGTAGCCGGCGCCGCGGCTCACTAGGCTAATCTTCCGCCTTGCGGCGCCAGCACACCGGGTTCTAGTCCCGGTCAGGGGATCGGATTCTGTCCTGGTCGCCCCTCTTCCAGGCCAGCTCTCTGCTGTGGCCAGGGAGTGCAGTGGAGGATGGCCCAAGTCCTTGGCCCTGCACCCACATGGGAGACCAGGAGAAGCACCTGGCTCCTGGCTTTGGATCAGTGCGATGCGCCGGCCATGGCGGCCATTGGAGGGTGAACCAATGGCAAAGGAAGACCTTTCTCTCTGTCTCTCTTTCTCACTATCCACTCTTCCTGTCAAAAAATAAAAAAAAATAAAGCAACAGTAGATTACTTTAAAATTTATTGTGCATGATGTAATGGTTTTGGCATTCAATTATTGTTTATAGCTATTGTCCATATTCCCACTAAAATAGAGTCTTTGCTTCTTACTTAAAAACTTCATACTTGGTGAGATATTAAGTCTTTTACTGTAATGCAAATTTAAAGTATATTATCTCAAAAATAAGAGAAAGAAAAGGAAAGAAGAAAAGCAAGGAGGGATAGACATAGGGAAAAATAGGAAAGGAGGGAGAGAAGGGTAGAGATGAAGGAAGGAGAGAACATCATTATATTCTTAGAATTATATCTATGAACTATATAGATGGTTAAAACGTCAAAAATATAAAAATCTGTTGCAATAAAACAGCAACATTGAAAAACTGATGTGAATCTGGCAGAAAAATAACTCAGACAACCAGGAGGATTCCCAGGTTAAATGATGTTTGAATGGTCTTTTAAAAAAAGCCATGTGTGAGCAGGCAGAGAAAGACAGGAAGGATGTTGCAAGTTACAGAAGTACAAAGTAGGAGAACCCTGAAAGGAAATGTTTGAAACCCAGTAGAATATTCCTTACATAGGGGAGGTTGGCAATAATAAATGAGACAGAACAAAGACGACCTTGAACTCATATTGAGTACCAGCACTTAAGAAGGCTATAATCTAGCTCGTAAGAAGGGGATTCAAAAGAAGTCTCCATAATAAGGAGATATTGCATGATCGGAAATACGTTGTGAAAAAGCTCATTGAGTGGGGCTGTTGGGAAAATCTAAGTGAGGGATACAATGAAATGAGTTTTTTGTTAGCATTTTTGTTCAGATGCTATAAATTAGGAAATATGGACCATAAGAATGAGGCGTCACATGAATTGAAGCAAGGGCCTTAAAAATGTGTAAAAGTCAAGGCTGGTGTTGTGGCAAGGCAGGTAAAGCCACCACCTGCAACACCAGCATCCCTTATGGGTAACAGCTAGAGACCTGGCTGCCCTGCTTCTGAGTCAGCTCCCTGCTAATGTGCCCGGGAAAGCAGCAGAGGATGGTACAAGTGCTAGGGCCTCTGCACTCACCGGGGAGATCCCAAGGAAGCTCCTGGTCCCTGGACCTCAGATGGCCCAGCTCCAGCCAGTGAACCAGCTGGCAGAAGGTATCTGTGTATGTGTGCGTGTGTCTCCATCTCTCTCTGTAATTCTGCCTTCCAAATAAATCTTTTAAAAATGTGTAAAAGTCTGATAAGAAGTCAAACAGAGGAGGGAGAGAGAATACCCTATAAGGTAGCCCAGCAATGTGAAGAACTGTGATGTGTTTGGAAGATAAGGGTAAGATTGTCTCTTTTGAGTATAGGGCAAGTGGAGGAATAGGGTGGAAAATGGGCAGACGTCTCTTGGTATCAGATAATGAACAGCGTTGTACTTCATGCTGAGGTATTTGGATTTTCTCCTATAAGCAGCTTACTCTCTATTTTTGATGCTGTCTTCGACTTATATCAAGCCTTAGGAATCTGATATCTGGCCACAGTATGATGAATGAAATGAACATGTAAGAGACTTGTAACTAATGAATAGTTGGTGGGTGCCATATTCACCTGTGGGAAAGAGCCAAGGCAATAGGAGAAGGAATAAGAAGGGGCTAATGATGTGAGCTTGTAAACATCTGGAATATTGGAACTGACATTGGTTAAAAAGATAAGAAAGGAGGCCAGCGCCATGGCTCACTAGGCTAATCCTCTGCCTGCGGCGCCGGCACACCGTGTTCTAGTCCCGGTCGGGATGCCAGATTCTGTCCCGGTTGCTCCTCTTCCAGGCCAGCTCTCTGCTGTGGCCTGGGAGTGCAGTGGAGCATGGCCCAAGTGCTTGGGCCCCGCACCCACATGGGAGACCAGGAGAAGCACCTGGCTCCTGGCTTCGGATCAGCGCAGTGCGCCGGCCGCGGTGACCATTGGAGGGTGAACCAATGGCAAAGGAAGACCTTTCTCTCTGTCTCTCTCTCTCTCACTGTCCACTCTGCCTGTCAAAAAAACAAACAAACAAACCAACAAATATAAGAAAGGAGTTACATGAAGCTTCATGATAGCTTTTTGGTATCTGGAACTTACTCACATAGGAAAACCAGGAGAGAGAATATTGACAGCTCTGCTCTGAACATCTTGCATTTCAATACCTGCAGGAATTCTGAAATAGAAATGTGCCAGAGGAAATATGAGAGTCTTTTTTTTTTTTTTTTTTTTTGGATAGCGGAAGCAATAAGAATAGAAAAGATTTCTCTTTAGAGGTAAATAAACTGGGAAACCTTCATATGAAAGAGAATCCATACAGAGTGGTCTCAATGATAAGCCATATAAAACTTGGTTGAAGATTGCTTGGGTACATTTGTTTCTCAACTTGGATTCTTTATGAATTGTGCCTTGTGCCTGTTAAATTCTTTTCCCATTTTCATTTTGCTCACATACCTCCTTCTCTTCTCTGTATAAACACTCGGAGAGGGCTTCCCTGACTGCATAAACACTGGCCGTGTACTCTACATCAGAGATCCTACATGTCTGGTTCCAAGTTCTATTTCCTATGTTTCTGTTTCTCCCCTGGCACTTCATTCTTCATCCCTGCTTTCTTTGTTTCCTTTCAACAGTGACTGAAGTAAAAATCAAAATTCTGTGGAAAGTCTTCATGCAACTTTTCTGCCCTCATCTTCCACATGGATTGAATGTTTGATGAATAATTGAAATAGAAACATAATTTGCAAAATTGATCTAAGGAATTTTAATGGATTCTTTTCCGGTTCATAATGCAAAAAACAAATCATTTAAAAAGTATCCTAGCTGGAAAATGTCTTAGAGTTCCTGCTAAAAACTCAAAATTTATCATTATATGCTATTCTAAAATTAGACAGTACCTTCAAAATCATTTATTTCAAACTATTTTGTTAGGCAAATTTTAAAGAAAATCAATGAGTTGTTATAAACTAATAATATTGACATATATTAACAACTTTCTAAGCATTATATTACAAGCATGAAACATGAACATTCTTCAGAAAATTTGTGGAAAGTGGATTTAAAGATAAGTTTATGTTCACACAAAATATTTTGAGGCCGGCGTCACGGCTCACTTGGCTAATCCTCCGCCTGCGGTGCCGGCACTCCGGGTTCTCGTCCCGGTTGGGGCGCTGGATTCTGTCCTGGTTGCTCCTCTGCCAGGCAGTGGAGGATGGCCCAGGTCTTGGGCCCTGCACCCGCATGGGAGACCAGGAGGAGGCACCTGGCTCCTGGCTTCGGATCGGCGCAGCGCACCTGCTGGGGTGGCCATCTGGGGGGTGAACCAACGGAAAAGGAAGACCTTTATCTCTGTCTCTCTCTCTCTCACTAACTCTGCTTGTCAAAAAAAAATAATATGTTGAAAATCATGCATGATTTTTCATAATACATATTCCATGAATTTTTTGAATACCCTTGCATTGCCATACACCTTAACCCAGCAAAATCACATGTCAAATTCATTCATCTAGTCCAGTCCTTTTCACAGTTATCACCATTGGGACCACTGCATGGTCAGGAGCTCTGACGTAAAGAGATCTACTGAGAAAAACATCAGTTCATTTGCAAATTTTCACTGATCTCTCCAAAATATTTAAATGTTAAAACGAAGTTATACTCATTTTAAATTACTTAAATGATTCAATTACATTTTTATTCAGTGAGTTGACAGTTTATTAAGTATTCTTGAGTGCTAAGGTACCATCTGATCAAAAGAAGCATTTCAAGAATGTGGCATTAAAATATCCAGTGAGGCCAGCATTGTGGCACAGCAAGTTAAGCTGCTGTCCAGAACACTAACATCCTATGTGAGGGCCAGTTCGAGTCCCAAATATTATACTTCCAGTTCAGCTCCTTGCTAATATACTTGGGAAGGCAGCAGGAAACAGCCCAAGCACTTGGGCCCCTGCACACATGTGAGAGACCCAGGTGGAGTTTTGTGCTCCTGGCTTCAGCCTGGCCCATTGGCCATTGTGGCCATTTGGGGACTGAACAAGTGGATGGAATAATCTAATATTATTTTGTCTTGGCTGTCTGTCTGTCTGTCTTTCTCTCTTTCTCTCTCATTCTGATTTTCAAATAAATATATAATCTTTAAAAGAAAGAAAAACAATAGATGAGGGAGAGAAGGAGAATTTTAATAATATTTACTCTCTTGCTTGCAGATCCTGGTCAGAGGAGAGATAAAGAACAATTTTTTGGTACATTCCAAGAGTCACCCTATTGCATTTAAAATACAGACTCTCACAGAATCATTCTGCTCCTCATTCAACTCCTGACCTTGACTTCTCCCAGGTGCATTTTCTCCCTTTCCTGAGGCTCCTTCACTAAGAATTGCCCTACACTTGTCCTGGGACCCTGTCCAGGTGACATCAAAGCAGGCTTTTTACAGTTATTTCAGTCTTGCCCTTAAGCACCTGTGCACCTGTGGGAACAGGCCCATGGGCACTGGGAGGATGCACAATCACAGCACAGTGAGCACATTCATTCTGTGGGGATTTTCCAGTTTCCCAGACCTGCAGAGGCTACTTTTTGTGGTGATTTTCTTCTCCCATGTGACCATCCTGGCTGCAAATGTGTCCATCATGTTGGCCATCAAGCTCAGTCACAGCCTTCACACCCCCATGTACTTTTTCCTCTTTGGCCTCTCTCTCTCAGAAACTTGCACTACTATGGTGATCATCCCCCGCGTGTTAGTAGATCTGCTATCAGAGAGCAAGACCATATCTCTTCCTGAGTGTGCCACACAGATGTTTTTCTTCTTTACCTTGGCGGGCAATAACTGCTTCATCTTGGCTGCTATGTCCTATGACCGTTACACAGCCATCCACAGTCCACTGTATTATCCCATCCTGATGACTCATAAGGTGTGTTTTCTACTCATGATGGCCTCTTGTATTGTTGGGATCCTAATTTCTCTGTGCATCACCACCATTGTATTCAACTTGTCCTACTGTGATTCTAACATTATTCAGCATTTCTTCTGTGACTTTGCACCTGTGGTTCACCTTGCTTGTGATTACACTTCCTATCATGAAATAGCTATATTTGTGCTCTCTGCCTTTGTATTGTTAGGCAGTTTTGTTTTAATTATGGTTTCCTATGTCTTCATAATTACCGTAATTATGAAGATGCCCTCTACAGAAGGAAGGTATAAGGCCTTCTCGACCTGTTCCTCCCACTTCACTGTGGTGTCCATACACTATGGATTTGCTTGCTTTGTCTATCTGAGGCCCAAAGGCAGTGACACATTCCGTGAAGACATGCTGATGGCTGTGACATACACGGTGCTAACACCACTGCTTAATCCCATCATTTATAGCCTTAGAAACAAAGAAATGCGAATAGCTCTAAGGAAAATTCTAGACAATGGCAATCGATTTGTCCTCCAGCTGTCAAATAAAAGAGATCAGAACATTTAAAAAATGTCTAGTTTAATAAATAAAAGTAGTAAAGTAGAATACTTCCAATAAAAAATTATAACTCATACAAAGAATTTAAAGTATTATCTAAATTACCTGATGTATACTTGTTTTGCTATTTTTCTACTGTATACAATTTTAAAATATTTTTGAATATTAAAAATATGTATATACATTCAGAAATACATCAAACACATTTTGAAACAATAATTTCATAAAAGTAGTGGCCTGTGGGGAAGGAAGAGAATTATGCTAACGAGATAAGTAGAGAGACAAGTGGGCTGGCAGATGGGAAAAGGAAGGTAGGAAAAGAAAGAAAATTAGTTTACTTAATCAGAAACTAGGCAGAAAGTTAAGAAGGAGGAGGTGAACATCATAAAAAGAAAATTGAAAGCAATTTAAGAAGGTATTTTGTTAATCACTTTATTGAAACAAATAAGGATATTAGGATAAAATGGATGGTTAAGGGAAAAAACAACTTAGAGATTTGTTACCCTGATTTGAACATTATACAATGTATATGCATCAAAACATCACATAATATACCACATGTATAATTTTTAAGCATTAAATGATAATTTATTTTCCATGTTTAAAAGGTTTCAAAACATTTATATACAAGTTAAAAAACTACAGAAAATTAATGTAGGCAAAATTCATAAACATACAGGGTCTATTATAGGATACAAAAACTGTGTCACTAAATTAAAAAAAAATCCAGAGATGTAGGCAAATTAGAATAAGTCAACAAAGAATATATTAACTACAACTATGGTAGAGCTAGACAAACCCCTGAACATTAAAGTAAAATTAATTTTCTATATTTCCTACCTGCATGGTTTGCCTTTCTGGGGCTGAATTGCGTACTTCAGAAACATCAACTGGTAGATGATCAAGCACCTCTTCCTCTTCATTCTTCTGATTTTGTCCACAGTCTGGCAATCTTACGGAAGACTGGCTTATTTAAATTCTGAGGAAATATAAGCCATTAGCAGGTCGTCAGGGTTGGGTTCTGACATGAGCAGCTGAATAGAGGTCAACACAGTTGCAATGTTAAGGGATGGTTTCCAGACACATTTTGGTGGCAATTTGAAAACATCTAGACAAATTCTTCCAGCAGAATCAATGTTTGGCAGATAGATTGGAGTCAGAAATCAGATCTGAGGAGATTTAGGAGATTTAAATAGGTACCTCTCAGGAATAATAACTTCCTGCTTGAAAACACCTTTCTCATAAGGTGTGTTAGATCCACCTAGTATTGCTATGAATACTAGATCATCCATTTAGTCCTTATCTTACCAGCACATAATGCCTGGTGGTGGCTCTGTAGCTAACATGTGCAACTCTCTCTTAAGGCATGAAGTTCTTCTGTACATGATCCCCAAATTAAAGTAAAACCACACACGGCTCACCACTGACACTAAGAGCTGACTGCAGTACACTCAGTAAAGTAGTATACAACATGTGCACAATACACTTCATATGTGTAATTTTTATATCAGGTAAAAAATTTTTCATAAACATTTAAACAAATAATTGCCAAAAATTGTTTAGATCTGTAGAATATAACATTGTTTTGTAATACATACAGATTGTAGAATGACTAGGTAGAGTTATTGAACATGCTACATTATCTCATGTACTTATTTTTCTGGTGAGAAATCTTAGCATCTACTGTATTAAAAGTTTTAAATAAAGCCACACATCATTAGATATCATCATTGTGTTGTAAAATAGACCACTCAAACATTTAATATTTATTGAATTTTTAGTTTTCTTTTGTTCTTTCTTACCTTTGAATTAAATGTAACTTTTCAGTAAAATTTTTTATTAACAGTAATTATATGTGTGTGTAGTAGTACAGTGTGACATTTCAATTTATGTAGACAGTGTATACTGATCAAATCAAGTTAATTAACATTTCCTCTACTTTGTTACTACTTTATGATTGGAGCTTTGGCAATCATCTCTTCCTTTGCTCAGAAAATATGTAATAGATTATTCTAAACTACAGACACCGCACTATGCTATGTAACACTAGGTTCTCACCTGTCTGATTTTGCTATATTACCTGTAATTCAACCTCCAAGTTGCCCCTTATGCCTCCTGCCCTCCAGCAATTACTATTCTATGTTCAGATTCATATTGCTTTTAGCGTCCACATCTAAAGGAGAACATGTAGTATTTGTGTTTCTGTGTCTGGCTTATTTCACTTAACATAATGTCCCATCCATTTTGTCATGTGTCCGTTGCTCATTTATTTGTGTGTATTTGTATTTCACCATTTTGAAACTGCCTGTTGGCCAGCGCTGCAGCTCAATAGGCTAATCCTCCGCCTTGCAGTGCCGGCACACCGGGTTCCAGTCCCAGTCAGGGCACCGCATTCTGTCCTGTTCGCCCCTCTTCCAAGCCAGCTCTCTGCTATGGCCCGGGAGTACAGTGGAGGATGGCCCAAGTCCTTGGGCCCTGCACCTGCATAGGAGACCAGGAGAAGCACCTGGCTCCTGGCTTCGGATCAGCGCGGTGCACTGGCCGGCCGCTGCGGCCACTGGAGGGCGAACCAACTGCAAAGGAAGACCTTTCTCTCTGTCTCTCTCTCTCTCTCACTGTCCACTCTGCCTGTCAAAAAAAACCTGCCTATTCATATCATTTTCCCATTTATTAAATGGATTGTATTTGTTGAGTTTCATGAGCTTGTTACATATTCTGGATGTTAATTTTTTATTGGGAAAATAAATAACTGAAGAATTCAGACCATTAATGTTTAATGTGACTATTGATACGTAGTGACTTTGCCCTGCCATTTTCCCGGAGATATTTTCTAGCATATGCTTTGAGCTTCCCAAGCTCTTTTATTGGTAGGTTTTCTTCCTTAACCTTCTTTCATATTGATGGCCGTGTTTCTGTGTTTCTGAGTGTAGCACATCTTTAAGTATCTTTTGCAGGGCCGGACAAGTGGCCGCAAAGTCTCTCAATTTCTGTTTGCTATGAAAGGTCTTTATTTCACCTTCATTCACAAATGAGAGCTTAGCAGGATATAATATTCTGGGCTGGCAATTTTTCTCTCTTAGCACCTGTGCTATGTCTCGCCATTCCCTCCTAGCCTGTAGTGTTTCTGATAAGAAGTCTGCTGTGAGTCTAATTGGGGATCCTCTGAGAGTAATCTGACGTTTCTCTCTTGCACATTTTAGGATCTTTTCTTTATGTTTCACTGTGGTAAGTTTAATTACCACGTGTCGTGGTGAGGATCTCTTTTGGTCATGTTTATTGGGGGTTCTATGAGCTTCCTGTACTAGGATGTCTCTGTCCTTCTCCAAACCTGGAAAGTTCTCTGCTAGTATCTCACTAAAAAGGCCTCTAATCCTTTCTCTCTCTCCATGCCTTCAGGAACTCCTAGAACTCGAATGTTGGTTTTTTTAATAGTATCCTGTAGATTCCCAACAATATTTTTTAGATTTCTAATTTCCTCTTCTTTTCTTTGGTTTGACTGTATGCTTTCCTGTGCTCTGTCTTCTAAGTCTGATATTCTCTCTTCTGCTTCACCCATTCTGTTTTTAAGGCTCTGTAATGTGTTTGTCATTTGATCTATTGAGTTCTTCATTTCATTTTGATTTCTCTTCACTATCACACTTTCCTGTTCTACTAGTTTCTGCGTTTCATTTTGATTCTTCCTTAAAATTTCATTTTCATGAGAGAGATTTTCAATCCTGTCCAATAAGGATTTCTGTAGTTCAAGGATTTGCTTTTGAAAACTTCTAAATATTCTTATCATAAATTTTTTGAAATCCGTATCTTGCATTTCTTCTATCTCATCATCTTCATAATCTTGGCTTGGGGTGTTTTGTTTATTTGGAGGGATCATAGTGTCTTCATTGATCTTGTTCTTTTTGTGTTTGTTGCTTGGCATAGTTAATTCTTCTCCCTTCACTGTGCGTTTTTTTTATTATTATTATTTTATACTATGTCTGTGTTAAGTGGACTGCCTGCTGTTGGAGGAGCCTTGGAGGCTTGAGATGGGTGTGGCCTGAGAGATCTGCTTGGTTCTTCCGGGTTACGGGTGTGCAAAGGTGACACCCTCAGGTTATGTGTGGTAAATCTCTCTCTATTTATTTATTTATTTATTTATTTATTTTATTTATTCAGGAGGTAAGTAATACTGCACGGCTGTGCAGAATTGATGGTATTTAGCTTCCAATCTCTGGCTTCTACCCAAAGAGTCTGTGCAGGCTCTGTTTCCTCCTCTGGACTCCCACTGGCTTGCCCAGGCTACTGAATTGTAGCAACTCAGTTCCTTAGCTCTCCCCTGTTGTTATGTATATCCAGAGAGCGGCCTGCTCTTTGTCTCTTGCTAGCCTTTGCAAGGTTGGCGGAGAGAGAAACTTGTCTGTACCAATACCCCCCCCCATTTTTTCCTTCTCTCCTGTAGACAGTCTGGTGAACTTTCACGCTCCCCTCTAGATTCTGACCGCCATTTCCCCACCAATGTCTTGGGTTACTGAGCTCACCTCCCCTTCCAGCGCCAATGTGTGGAGCCCTGGGCGTCCCAACTCTCCCTGCTGGTGTCTGTGTGACATGCACTCCCCTTCCTGCACTGGCGCGCAGACCCTGCGGCTCCCGCAGCTCGGCTTCCGTGCGGTGGGCGACCTTGTTCTCCCAGTAGGTCCTCCGTGTCACAGCCACTAGATCCGGAAGAGTTTCCTCTGCAATTTTTTCCTGATCCTTTTTCTGAGGCTACCGTAACTCCACTTTTATTAAACTAAATTTTCCCAGACTATTGGTGCGCGCCTTCATTATTCCGCCATCTTGGCTCCGCCCCCTGAAGTTAATTTTAATTCCCTTTTTTAGGAAACTTTATTACCTTTAAGAAGCACCCAATAATGATATACCTATTGTAAGCATTTAGACATAATTATAATACAAATCTTTGAGGGCTGAGGTCCTTCATGGGAAGTTGGTGCACAGTGACACCTATTGTTAATTTCACAATTCACATTCTTATA